ATAGCATTTTAGGAAAAGGACAGAAATAGCTGCAGCTATTGAAAGTGATATACTGCTGAAATATTTTTGTGATTATGCTAAAAGTTGATCTGACTCCCTGAAAGAACTCTTAAATGGTTACTGCTTCCTCAAATAAAAGCTACTTCATATGTGCTCTCCTGCTCTAAAAATACACCAAATGTAGTTGCTTCTAAGTGTCACTGCCCTTTTGAGACATTTGGAAAAGACATAGCTGACAAAGAGGAAATTAAAAGATCAGGAAATAATCCATAATAAATCAAAAGACCATCAATGCAGTAATTTTTTTGTTTCTGTTATGATTAGATTGTGTGTAGTAGAACAGAATTCTTTACTTTCCAGTAACAATGCAGATCAGAAAGTAACATTCAATTTGGTTAATTTGCACAAAACTAATACCTTTAGCTGTCTTCCTCCTCCACCCCTCCTCTCCTGAAATGATGGATGTTTGAGGCTGAGATCCAGATACCTCAACCAACTCTAATAACCCCTCTTCAGTTCCAGAAGAAAGGAAATGGTTTGTAATACACTCAAGTCCCTTAGGTACACTGATTATTTCTTTTCCTAGTGACTTTTGTCTCTGCAGATCAGCTGCAACCCAAAAGTTATGAGATCTGATAGAAGAGCAGTGCTGTACATATGCTAATAGGCCCTGCTGAAAGAAGGGGTATAAATTCAGACTATTATCTACTAGCACATCTACTCCAAACCTGAGTTCTCATTCGCCTCACTTGACCATGTATGTTGCTGCAAAATTTCAGATACTTCAGGTCATTCTGCTTTAGAAAGCTTAGATCAGACCACCATGAAACAGAAACAACATCAGGAGCAGAGATGATGAGTAGTACAAATAATCCTCATAATGAATGGGTAATGTAGATTTTTATTTGTATGTTCAAGGAAAAAACACATTAAGAACATAAAAGCACTTTCTGAAAAAGATAGAAATATTGAGAAATGTGGTTGGTGCTACTCTATCAATCAATGGTACAGGAATGTTCACATACAAGGCCAGCCCTGTGCATTGCAGAAATCAATACAGGATTGAGCACATGTTGAGTCAGATCATCAATAACTGTGAGATACTATTTTTGTTTTTGTGACCCCCACCTAAACACAAACCAGCAGTAGCTGAGAGAAGCAATGTGAACCACTGCTTAAAATTCTCCCAACTAAACCAAGGGAGTCCATGTTGTTCCTGGAATTCATTCCATCTCAGGATACTGCCAAACCAACCCAACTAGGGTTGACTCATCTGCATGGTTTCATAAAGTACTTCTGAAAGGCATGTGTCTTGCCTTTGGAATGCTCTGGATTACACCAAGAGTATGTGATGCTCCAGCATGGGGAAGAGGACATCCCTGACTCTTCCCTACAAAGATATTCCCAGTCTGCACTCTGCACTATTAACTGCATGCTCAATTTATTTCTCACTACCTAAGGAAAGCATTGAGCATTCATTCCTTTGGTAAATGATATCATTCTCCCATTCCAGTTTTGCTTCTGAGACAACAAATTTTGCTTGCATAGGAAAACAAATGAACAAATTGCCCAATCCCTCATTCTTCCCTGTTTTCCTATTTCTAACCTTGTGGTAAAGAAATGTATGATGAGCTACAGAGGAAAAAATCTGGGAGTCACAAAATACTGTCACAGCACATAAAGCAGAAATACAAAAACCCAAAGAAGGGCAAAAATAAAACACATAGAAAAAAAAAAAGCAATTCTTTGTGAGCTAAGAGCAGAAGCCATCAGGACTATTTTAGAAAGCATCTGATAGAGCACATGGCAGTACACATGAATTAATGAGTAAGTATGTTCACTTGGCAAATTGTAACTTTTCCTTTAATGAGTATTAACTAAAACTGAACCCAGTATTTTTAGCACAACACATTGTAGAAATTTACTACTACAAATGTGAAATTTACTACTACTTAAATTGTATTAATGAGACAACAACTTTAAATGACTTTAAATTGGGTAAGAATTTCATATTTACAGAATACAGCACCCCTCACATTTGAGGACTGAAATAAAATGTTTTGCTGACTGGATGTAGGCAAAAACATCCTTGCCAGTAGATTTTTACATGATTGTCTGTCATGGCTGAACTTTAGTGGAAGCCCCTTGGTTCTGGCAACTTTCAGCAGTTCACATTCTCCTATCTAAGATTAAAAACAGTCTCAGAAAGAGGTAAAGAGCACAGAAATTCCACGGTGCACATCTAGATAATATATCAGGAAATACAGGAAAAGATTAAGGGTTCTAGCTTTAAGAATTTACCAAATGTGCACAACTGGTATCCAAAGTTCTCCCTACTGCAACTCCAGCCAGCTCTTTAGCTGTCCAGAGATGCTTCACAGATCTGTCTCTATTGATGTTAGCAGAACTCCTGAGATGAAATTTCTTAGAAGTTTCTCAGAAATGCCTTCATAAACCTATTTATTGATTTGGCTTCTCAGAAGTGGCTCACAAAAGCTCATTGAGAGTCACACCTGAAATGAGTTTCTACTTCCTCGTGTCTTGCTCTCTGAGCCCCAAAAATGGAAAGGCAAAAGGTATATTAGTCAGCATCTTGTAGGATTTATTGAGACCACTTTTTATGGAAAGTCCTTGGGAAGGAAAATAGAGGCCTATTGGGGAAATACACTGTATTTTCCCAACAAAATTCCACAGTACTATAAAAAGTACTGTGTCATATCTGGGCAACCCAGCTGTAACAGTAAAGGTGTGTGTTCATCTCTAGCTGTTGGGCTGGACTGTTGTAAGGTCATTTATTTGATGAAACAAAATCTGACCTCTCTTGCAGAAGAAATAACTGAATCAGGACTGAAAAAGGGAATGTTTCTCTAGCAAAATGGTAATGTAAATTATATGGGGCTGACTAATTATACAGTTCGTTTCCACTAAGAGAATAACATGATGATCTATAGAGCTGAAATCCAGAGTATGAGCTAAGAGATTACTCTTTTCTTATTTTCCATCTGAGTCAGTTACAACAAAATCTGTGTTCGAGACTAAGTTGCATACTTTTTGCTTCCCCATTTAATCCCATGTGGGTATCCCCATCTGATCTGAAGATAAGCAGAAGATACTCCACATCAAAAACTCTATAATGGTGGTTCAAAGACAGATCCAACGCATAATGGACTTATAATGCAAATTATCTGTGGTCAGTTTGAAAGGAAAATAAATATTTCCCTGAGCAGAACTGACATTCTTTAGCTGAAAGAGAATGAATCCAGGATACATGTGCAAGCACAGTGTCATATATGTCTCTCAATTCACAGGTTTTAAGGTTCCAGTTCTAAAAGGGAGCACATCCAACAATGCGAGGATTAGACAGAAGCTCAGCCATGCCAAACACCTGGCCACCACTTACTTTGTCCTGTGTGTGTTTTTCTAATGGAGAGTGTAGCCTGTCTTATTGCTTTCAATGCAGTAAGTCACACCTCTTTTGCTTAAGTGTATCTAGACAGAACTTTAATGGAACAAATTGCTATGTCTTTAGTCAATCTTCCTCTGTCTACACAGGAGAGATACCCTGAATCTGGTCATTATCTTACAAAGCAAATCTAGTTTAAGGATTATCCTTCCTAGAAATGCCATCTCTTCTCTTGGAAGTTTTGTTCAAAACATTAAACTGCATGTATATCATAGAAGAATCTGAACATGGGATCTGAGCTAAGACCTTAAGCAGTCTGAAAGGCCAATGCCAATTCGGCATTGGCTGCCGAATATGATATCCAGGAAAATACAAGTCCTCTTTTGAAGGTAATACACACACACACACACACACACACACACACACACACACACATTTATGTATATAAAACTGTATAGCATATTTGCGGGCCTAAACTCCTTGTGAAGTTGTTTTTCAGTATAGCAAATTAGAAAAATATGCCCAGAATTAAAGGTTACTTAATCGGGTTGAAGCAGCAACTTCAATTCCAGCAACTCCCTCCCACTATGTTACATCTGATAATGTACCCAAGTCCAAACATAAACTTAGTTCAAAAAGATGTTTGGTCCTCACATGTAAAATGACACTTAGCTTACACAATTAGCCAGGTAATACATATCCTTCCAAAAGAAGCAATTATTACCACAGAATTATCTGCATTTTACTAATCTCTGATTGTTAAGTTTTACTTGCTGAAACTTTTCCATATGGCTTTTTGAATGCCACTGTCCTGTGTTTAATTACCACAGAGGGATATTAATGAAGAGGTTTGAAATTTGGCCCAAGCCCTGTTCCACAGTTTGGACAATTTGATGGAGATAGAAGCAGTGAGCTGCACACTTCTGTCAATATGAGGCCATGCCATTTCACACATAAAAGCAGTGGCAAAAGAGGAACAAACAGACATTCAGAAATAAAACACTTAACTATTTTTGAATTGTCCACAAACTTCTAAGCCAGCATAATTGTAAAGTAGCACTGAGTGAAATGAAACATTATTTTGCTGACTTAAAGGACAGTCAAACTGACTGACCTAAAGGAATTGGTGGAGTAGTTCTTGAAATCGATACCATTCTGATTAAGCTGGAAGACAGACACATGTCCAAAAATGCAAAGTTTACTACCCAATTTTAAAGGCAAAACATGATATTGAGCAGAACCAAGGCAAGGGTAGGCAGCTTGAGTGCAGAGGATGCGAGGAAGTTAACGTGGGTGGGAAAGCATGTGTTACTGCCTGGATGAGGAAGTGGTACACCACAGTTGCTTCATAAGTGCGAGGGATTTATGAACTAAATCTCCTAGGGACCGTTTTAAATAGACAAAGAATGACACACAGCCCTGACAGACTTTTGTTTGAGAAGGCTGGTTGCCTTCTAAAAACACTGGACTGTCACTTGTACTTTTACTAAATTTGCCTATTTTTAACCTTAACCTTTTCATATAATCAGTGGGGAGATGCACCATGTAGTAAATTTTACTGTCAAAAGCATAAAATCAATGGGTTCCTCAGCCTTACCTGACAATGGAACACATATTCTGGTGTGGTTTTCTTGAACTTCATGTTCCACACCAAGGCTACCCCATCAGGCTCGTGTGGAGCATCTTCATTATTGTTATAAGATGCAACCATCAATTCGGGATACTAGAAAGGAAAAGAAAATGCAAATAAAATAACATGGATAATGAAAAACCTACACAAAACCATATCAGACAGAAATAATCTACAGTAAATATGCAATATCTGGTTTTAATTAAAATACATGCTAGTTAAATCATATTATTCTGCTTCATTTTGGTTTTACATTTTACTCATCCCTAACATCCTTAAAGCCCCTGATACTTGCTCTCTATCAGTTATTCTAAAATATCTCAAAGGCAATGTTATTTTCTGCAGGTAATTCTTAAGAAAAGACAACTAGCAAAATATTTGTAAAGCGAATGAAAAGGAAGGAGGAGGAAAAATTTGAACGCTTCAATAATTTTAATGTATTTGCTCAGCATCTCTTCAGGGACAAACTGCTGTCTTAATTGATTTTGATAATAAAACACTATGACCATAGGGTTGACTTTCTTTTATTCTGAAATTCACCTTTTTTTCAGCATTCCTGAAAACCATTCTTTCTTATTTCATTATACACTCTTAATTCACTTATACACAGAACCAACTTGAAAGCTCTTCTTGATGATTCAAATGGCAAACCAAACCTTTTCTTCACAGAAGCTCAATTTTGCAAGATGCTGAGGTCATCTTGTAAAGCACAGGGTGACCTTGAATTCCACTGACTCAGTAGGATTGATGCAATAAGCACTCTAAAAACAGAGCCACACTTTTTTGTATACCCATTATCCAGTGCTGTATAAAGTAGATATGCAACACGCATATTTATTTGCTTTGTTTATATATCCATATCTATATATACATATCATGCATGAAAAATCAGAATTTCACACTGTCTCAATGACCTTGCATCATTTTAAAATGCCGTAAGAAGTATCAATTTATCCACAAAATATCAATTACTTTCTGTCTACATAGTAACTCTCAGTTGTTCACTCTCACATGTTTGACACTAGCCACCTCTGGTAACCTCTGTCCTTCCCTCTAAGTATTTGCCTATTTAGAGGGATAAGGCAGTGGAGATTATGGCATGTCCAGAGAAAAGCCTGTGTCTTCTGCAGACCAACGAGTCAGCAGCCCAAGTTGTGCAAGACCTACACTCTCCTCTTGTTAATTAGAAATGCTTTCCCTCAAAATTTCTCAGCATCTGCAAATTATTGTCACTTTTTGTCTTTCCCAGGTAAATTCCTGCCAAACCATCCACCACTTTACAGGAGAACAGCACAGCTGGTAGGAAACAGGACAAAGAAACTCTCATTTGGGAATTGTGAATTTGGTCCAAAGGCACTTTAACAATTAACAAAAAAACCCCAAACCACCACCCTTTCTATCATTATTATTGGGTTCTGAACCTCTCTGCTCTCACAGTCCATTTGGAAGAAATAATGCACACATCTGTAACTTCTGCCACCAGCAGCTGAGGCTTCCCACATTCTGTACGCTTCCATGGATAATGGATCACAGAGCTGATGATTTTTCTATTCAAGCTCATTGCTCCAAATGAGTCTGGACCCATGTGTGGAAGAACTGGCAATGACACATGGACACCACAGCCTACCCCTTTCCCATTTTAAGGAAACTCTGACTAGATTGTACCTACATCCCTCCAGAGCGTGGCTGCTGGCACAGCTTGTAAGAACAATTTAGCACCCAATTCACTTGCATGGAATTTAAAGGAAGCATTAGACCAACCAACCATGTCTTCTCCCTCATCAAGACATGAGGGGCACCTGAGGGTGAATTAATTCCACACCTGAGATGCCACCTCTCTGGACACAGTTGTGCCAGCCCTGCCCTCCACTGCTCTCATTCATCTCACCCCTCTCCTCTCTCACTCCTGCAACAGAGCTTGCAACCACTTCTGAACAGCAAGCTCAGCTTCTCCTTTGAACCTTTTCATCCCACGCTGGCCCATGGCCAAGTAAACAGAGTGTGCAGCAGGCTCTTGACAGAGCATCACGTTTTGGCTGAACAGGTTGGGGACCATTCACGCGAGTGGCTGAGCCTGCGGTCATGCAGGGGCAAATACGGGGGCAGGCAGAAGCAGCAAGCCCTCCTGCCAGCATGACTACAACCAGCTAGGGTGTGTGACCAGATCCAAAGTATCAATTTTGAAGTACTTTGGGGCTGGTTCATGCTCCTGGGAAGTTTAGTGGGCATGGTTCGCAGCACATCTGGCCGTGAACAGACACTGACTCAAATCTTGCTGGTCTATTGGCAGGTTTTGCAATCAGTTTATGTATTTGACTGGAAACACAGTTTAAAGTTTACACGGATGCTGGGGTCATACCTAGCTGGGTAACACCATTATGAGGCTTTTGACTCTTAAAAGGACAGAGCTAAGTGCAGTACCCTAAATCCTCTCTGGCACTGCACACTCCAATGCCCCACTCAATCTACTTCCATTTACACAGTTTCAGTCCTCACCAGGTGCCCAGACATCCTGCAAATGAAAGCAACATAGAAATGGTGCTGTGCAAAACCTCCTTCAAGGCTGCTGCCTGAGGGTCCAGAAAGACACATCACTAACCCAGAAACCATGATTTTCTTGGCTTTAGGTGATCTCATGGACAGAGGAAGGTGCTATCATTCTCTGTGCTTACTCTCAGTCTACGGGGCCTTTCCCTAAGATCCTTAAGCACCTAGGCCATTTTCTTCTTGCTTTGTGAAGGAATCAAGGGGCTAGAGGGTTAACTTGAACAGTATGAATGATCCCACATGTTTGAGACTGTATTCTACATGTGACTGGGAACAGAGTAACTTGTTTAATCAATGCATCAATGTCCTTTGTTTGATTAAGCTTCTATTTGCCTCCAGGCTGTTTCGCAGCAGCAGTTTTATCGCAGAAAATTGAGCAATGTGTTCTGCAGTTCCCATGATTATTCAAGTTATTCTTTGGCACAGTGGACACTGTCATGTCCTGGAGCATGTGTGAGCAGCAGAGCTAGTGGTTAGGTGAAATACCTCTGTCTGGCTCCAGCTCTTGTCTCGTGGATACAACTCAAAGCAGGAAGGAGAGGAGGCAACTCCATACTCCCAAGCTACTGTAGAGCAGCATGCAGAAGCCCCCCACATAGAGAAGCCCCTGCTGGGGTGCCAGGGAGCTGAGCATGAGGAGTTAACAAAGAGGAAGGCAGGAGGGGCCACCCTGGAACAAAGAGGTGGGAAGCAGAACATGCCTTCAAGCCCCAGGGGCTGAACAATTACATTTGGCAGTGCTCTTCTGAGGCGGCTTTTTTTCTTGCTGCCCTGGGAATACAGTAAGAGCTGCCTGTTAGGAAAATATCAGATAAGAATTCCATGTAATTTCCAGCCCCTGAACAAGTGAACAACCTAAGATAAGTGTTTCCTCAGGCTTATATTTGATTTCTGTGGAAATCCATATGTGCTTAAAGGCCACCCACATCACAATAGTGCATACCTGTTTCTAGGCTGATGTTTTGTATGAAAGCAAAGGTATAAATCCTTCATTTCACACATGGAGTGCAAGCTGGCTATTACAAGAAGCCTCTCTGCAACTGGCTGTTGTGCACCACCCAGACGTCCTCAGCCTAGCAGCCGTGCTCACTGGGACCCCCTGACTCTTCTCCTCCCTGCAGCCTCCAGGTCCTCTGTGCAGGCAGTGCCACCTTGCCTGGGAAGTACCCAGAGGGATGGAAGCAGCTCTGTGGCCATTTCAAGGGGAAAGAGAGAAGCATGGATTTAAAGTCTCCATGCTTCTTATCCCGTGGCACGCCTGAGGCTGGGTTTGGGGACAAGTAGCCAGCCTGGCTTGTGCCTGCATTTTTGACCTCGATGTCCTCTTGGAGCAGTTTTGTTATATGTGTATGGTGGATTGAGGAGCAGAGTCTCCTTGGTTCTCTCCCCAGGGAAACCAGATGCTTTGCCCAAGGCTAGAACCTAGGAACAGGCTAACAACAATGAAACAGGACAAGGGGGCTGGAGTAAAACTGGAACCAAATTAATTTAACAGGACCTGTGATGATGTCTGATAATCCCAGCTCTCCAACAGAGTAACTAATTAAACTGGTTTCTGTACTTTGCTGATGTGATTGCAGTGGTTTTGGAGAGCTTAAGCAGGTCTATCATCAGTTTTATTTTCCAATGACAATGCTTTACAGTGCAGAGAAACTGGGTGCATTCCAGGCATGCTGCCTTAGCATGACCTAGAGCAGCTGTAGCCTCCTCTTCAATCACTTGAAGACAGGACCCAGCAGTTTTTGAAAGAACTATTTTCAATCTTTTTAAATTGTTCAGATACTTTCACATTTTAAGTTTTAGTATATTAGAAAAATTAATTTTATTTCTCACCATTTAAAAAACGTTTTATATACTACTATGTATAATTACGTATATTTAGTAAATTAATTTTAGTTAGTTTAATTTTAAACCTTTTGTCCTAAAAAAATTTCCATTTTTGGCTGAAGTAGTGAAAGAGGGAGGAAAAGTACAGATTTAATATTGGTGGGTTTAACCTAGGGTTTTAACATAACATCCTGATTTTGAAGACCAAGTAACATATACAAAAACAATGACAGCTTCATTATCGTCCACCACTCTTCTTCACAGAGAAAAGTGCTTTCACTCACACAGGGCCTTGCTGTTATCTCAAAAATAACATCCTGCTCTGCATAAAGAAGAGCAAACAGAGGCTGTCCATAAGTTTTATAGGGAGAAGTGGAAGTGATATGGAAACATACCTCCCAAATCCACATCTTACCTGAAGAGACCAATCCATGCAGGTGACGACACGATGCTTTGACCAGTGCTCATCATAAAACTGCCGGTTAAAGGAAAGGTTGGCTCCTGCTTGAACGTCTCTGTGTGAATTCAAACAAAGTGACAGATTTTCAAGTACCAGGGTTCAAATGCTGTGAAAAGCAGTGCAAAAGTTTTTGACTATTTCTCAGATCTCTGCTCAGCCTGGGGAAGTCTGCCACCTTGATTTAATTGCTCTCACTGAGTGTCTGGCTGAAAATGATGCAACAAGGAACAAATTTTAGGCCTGTTTCACAAAACCACATTTTTTAATTTCTTGCTGCTTGCCTGACTCTTCTGGGTCACCCTGGGCCATCTCTGCCCTGTTGGTCTCCCAGGATGAACCTGGCCATTCAGCTCCCACTTTTACAAACTTTCACCTCCAAGCTATAATGAAACCTTTCTTACTTATGATTCCTAAAATGTTAAAGGTACAGCACCTTCTCCCAGAGATGGAGACTGCAGATGCTGTGTGGCTCTGTAAGGACAGGCTGAAGCTCAGTGCTGATCCAACACTGATGCACTCAGCTGGTCCACAGGGGTGCTGTTCTGGGTTAACCTCCAGTAACTTCTATGCAATACAGCTACTGATTTGCCATAAGGCTTCAACAGATACATAGCTGTTGCAACCTAAATATTTCCTCTCCAACTAACAAGTTTTACTGCTTTGCTCCCATATCAATTGCTGAAAACAAAACTTGTCACTTCTCGTCTTAGCTGTAAAGATTGCAAACGCTTTGGGAGATCATTTTCATCCCCACAATGCATGGTAAAGTGGGATCCATTACAGACCTGAGGCAGTAGTAGAATATAAACAACACTAGTTTGAATTTGTGAAAATATCATAAGCACACACATGTACACCACTGGAATGTACACATTTACATGTATGCACACATTGTGTATACACACATTTATCTCTTTCAGTTATTTTCCCAGAATTTTGAATTTCATTGCAAAAATGAAACAAAAAATTAAACCAGCTGAATAACACATCAAATTAAAAAACCTGCCAAAATCCAGATCAGTAAATCACAAAGCTACTTTAAAATATCATTTCAGATGACAAAGTTACCCAGGGCTTCACGGAGACAATTTAAGCTTTTCTTAAGAATAAAAATGTTAAATTTTGTTTAAAATTAAGGCTTCCTGTTATTGGACTTATCTTTATAGAACTTATTTTACAGAAGCAAAAAAAACCCCAAACTGACCCATCTTTCTCTTCTACGTCTCTCCCACTATAGTCAAAGAAGATGTCAGAATCTTCAGCCAAAGCTCGCTCAATTACACGTATTGTGCGGTCAAAAAATATCAGGAATTCTTCTGAATGGAGAACTTGTTGCTTTTCTTCTTCTGTCAGTTCTCTAGGAGGAGCTTGGAAAATGAAATGATGAAGTTAGGAGTATGACATTTCACCCCGTTCCCAATGAATCAACATCTTCAGTGGGTTTCTTTTGACATGAAAGCTTTCTATAGCCATGTCAGGAGAAAAATCAAAGCTTTACTCTTAAAATCATGACTAAGAAGTTTTTAATACATCTAAACATACTCCTGTATATTATCCGAATGTAGCCTTTACATAGAAGAGGTCCTCTATCTTATGTATTTATTATTCTGAAATGGAAAATACTTAAACCCCCCCCAAATTAAATAAACCCAGTGTTCCTATTTCAGGAAATGGCCGTGACTGACGTTTAGGCAATACCTAACTGGAAAAAGCAGAACACTTATGTAACAGAGGACCTGTCAGAGGAGCCGAAGATAAAATAATCTTCTTAACTTATACTGCAGTTCTTCATATTAAAAGGTCTCACATAATCTCTCCCTTCAATTCTTCCAATTTCTACTTGGTGTCACTGACAAATTCTGTCTTTGCTTCAGAGCTTTTGCGAAGTAATGAAGTGAATAACCAAAGATATTCTCTGAGGCAGCAAAATTGAAAGCAACCAGCCAAACAGCAGTTTCTTTAAGGCAGTGTTATTCCTGCAGAGGAATCCTAAGACCCAGAGCAACAAACGTCACCGAGCCATGGGCAAAGCTGCCCTGGGCAGCAGTAAGAATAGCATGTCTCCCCCAAGATGAAGTTGCTTCTTTGCATGTACTCAGAGTGGCTAAACGTTTACTTCCAATATTTCCAGTTGGGCCTTTCATTTGAAAAATACTGTCTTTAGAACGCATCAATGCAACGTCTCCATCAGTTTAACAACCTGCTTGTAAATTACAACTCAAACGCGAGTATCAGAGGGAATGAAAGTTGGGATACTGCTGTTACTACAGTAAAAAATTCTGTTCTCAATTGCACTATCAGGGTCATATTGATATTCTGGCAGTATTGCATATTGATGATGTATTTGCCCACAAGTGTTTTGAATCATCGTTATAGTTCTATTTCAGAATTACTTGTATTTCAAGAAATGACATTAATATCTTTACACTTACCCCAAACCAACCTTGCAACTAGCCTAAATTCCCAGCACAAAAAGCTCTGCTGACAGAGAATTTTGTTCCAAATTTATAATTAGGAACACAAACAGCATATCACAAACAGATTTACTGCAAAACTACAGAGACTCCTACGTAAAAGTTTAACAGGAGATCAAAGGTCTACTGTTTGAAAGTCTAAAGCATTTAGCTTTAGACTACAGATTTGAGGTGTTTACCTGTGAAAATGACCTTGCAGTCTCCATAGGCCATATTGGCTTAAAACACTGGCAGCCAAAAAAGGGAATTCAGAGAACACCCACCATACAGCAAAGTTTAACTCCCAGCCCTGTCATACATATCTCAGTGTTTAATTAAACAGTGAGTGACACAGTTTCAAGCTACAGCTCAAAATGATTTTCTAGTTTCTGTGCTATGCCACACAGCTTCTTTCAGTGATCAGGCAGATGTGGCCCTTGCTCTCCATCTGATTTTCCTCTGCTTCATTGGATTCATGCACTCCAGTGCCCAACTGGATGGGGCAGGAATGGATGGAAGGGCACAGCAGCAGGCAGGAGGAGTGACGTGGTCATCACCCCTGCAGTACTCAGCTCCCCCTGTTTTCAGCATACCTGCTCTCAGGGCTGCTGTGCTTGGGAGAGGCTGCTATCACCGTGCTTTGCCTCAAAATTTGCCTCAGGTGGTCAAAGCATTAGTTCTGAAAGACAAAATCTCTGCACTACACTGAGCTAAAGAGAGAGGGCAGGAGAAATGCAAAACGCATAGGAGCAATTTAGCTGACAGGAGACAGAGCAGCTAAAAAGTTACAAACTTTAGCCTTTGATGATGTCCTATGGTCTTGGCCCTATGTCTCCTACCAGCAGGTTAGTGGTCCCTGTGGAGCTCCACACATCCAGAGAATATCTGCATCCCCTCACATGGTCCCCCTGAGTAGCAGAGCAACAATTACCAAGGCAGGAGCACAATTTGCCCCTAAGTGCTTTGCACAGTAGCAATGCATGTGAAAGAAAAGACTAGCAAGAAGTACAGCTTGACCTACTGCAGCATCCATTGCTGAACAGTAATTGGCAATGAGGAACTCATGTGGCAAGGAAGCCTGTAATGAGGCAATATCCCATCGTCACCACTAAAGCATTGCTTTCCGAGAATCAAAGACAACAAGCATGACAATGCAGAGAAATGGCATAAAGAAGGGGAAAATAACTGCAAAGGCAATTGGAAAACTCGTGTTAAACTGCTGCAAATGGTAAAAATTATTTGCTAAATCAAATCCTCTCTACAGCTTGGGAATATAAATTTATTACTTGGCTATTTGCTGACTATAACTGCAAAGAAAATACAACCCAAAATCAACAGAAAGGGAAAAGGCAAAAAATAAAAAACTTGGGAGCTGTGGAGTGCTCACAAGCAGTGGAGAAACATGGTTGTAGTTCTACCTCAGCAAAATCTTCCTTGCAGTTAGCAATGATCTGTGGGAGGCCAGCAGTCTATTAAACCATCAGGAACACCTTGGCTAAAGTTTTTAGGGCATAAATCAGCTTACCTCATTCATCTGACTGACACACCAGATGCCCCCTGGCAATATTAAGCTTCATATTTTAGCCTTATTTTCTTCTTTCATTCGGCTGCCTCTGAAGTTTTATTTGAGGTAATCTCTTCTTACAAGAATGTTATCGTTACTTTTTCCAGTGTAAAACACTGCTATAACTACTGTAAATACATTAAGTATAAGCAAAAAAACCCAAACACACAGGTTTGTTCTTTCAAATATGGAGGTTTTCTAACCATTTATCTTTCAGAGACATTTCCATTTTCTTCTTGTTCCTTCTCCCTGTCTGTCCATTACCTCAAATAAAATAAAAAGAAGCTATGTAATTTTCTGCAATTTTTCTTCCGATCTGGGAGCTTACAGTGACTTTGATCTCAGCTTTCAAGAAACACAGGCTCTCTTTAAGGAAAACTGAGAAACATAAGTAGCTGATCAAAGTGTGTTTTGTTTTGTTTTGTCACAGAGACCTATGTGATGTGACAATATCTCCAGAAATTCCCTGTAAGAATACAGCATTTGTCTTCAAGTATCTGCTCTCCCTGGCACAAAACCCAAACCAACCACATCTAACCTTCTGTGCTGAACAAAGCCCAGTGCAGTGTGTAGCTTACCACTGCTAAAAAGTGCGTGCTTATTGCCTGGAGTGCCACGAAAACTCCTGCAAAGAAAGCTCCATAGTCTGCTTTTGTTTCGACACCATAGCTTCCATATGAACTGCTGTGTCTGGGCTCTGACCCCACCCCAAGGAGCTGAACCCATCTGTGGCCCTGCACGGCTCACGGATCTGGGGGGCAGCCACCGAGACATGGACGGGGCCCCGCAGCACCAGCAGCCTGCTCTGCAAGGACTCTGGGGCTGGGACGTCAGCAACAGCTACCAAAGCAGCCCTGTGTCCATGCTAATGTACAATACTGTACAAAACAAAATGGAATTTACATTTAAAATTAAATTGCTCTACATTGTAATAAATGCTCACAGGGAAAGAAACTGTGAGGTGTATCTGTAATGAAAGATATTATGTACTTGTGCTTGAACAGGAAGGTCTAGAATATGAAACAATAGTTGAAAATGATGTGAAAACAATCAATTTACTCGAGATTTATTTACAAAAATAGGAACATTTTATCATTTCATGTGATTTAACATAATCCTCAGAAATACTGTATTTCACATCAGGTTCTTTGTCCATAAATTTCTTTGGGCAAAACAGAAAGAAACGAAAAATTATATTAAAACATCTTCTTGAATATTTAGGAACGAAGATAAAATATATGCAGACTTGTTCTTATTCAGCAGAAGCATGTTTGTAGTAAATACAACATAAATAGTTGGGATAACAGTGCAGGAATAAATTTAGAAATATTCAAGTGCTAGAATTTGAGTCTTCTCTCAAGGGAGTTAAAAAACATAAAAAAATAAAACAAAACAAAAAAACACTATCCCACATTTAAATAAATATAACAAGGATTCTCCTGGAATCTCAGCAATTCTAAAACCTAGACAAGAGAAATGAAAATTAAGTCCATTTAGGAAAAAAAAAAAAAAAAAAAAAAAAAAGAAAAAGACCAAAAGGAGTAAGTGAATGAAAGAAAGGGCAAACTAATAAAAACAGTAAAGCAGGAAGCAGCCTTGTTATCAATCCAGAGATATAATGAGAGACAGAAGGAGATTATTAAAACCCCTTTAAGAGCTGTATTATTTCTTTCAGCATCTATTTAAATCCATGTAAACTTTAGATGTGCTGACGATGGAGGATGGCTGAAAGGCACAGGGTGAGAACTTCAAGGTGTGAAGTGGCTCTCAGCAGCTTTCAGTCCTTGCCTGCTGATCCTGTGATCCTCCTGTTTTTCTTGTGCTTTGCACTTTCATGTCAGGCTTGACAAATGCCATATCCTGCTTTGCTGTGTCCCATACCATGGTTTGATATATGTCATGCCTTTGTTGTGCTGGCAAGCCCCTTCATGGCATAACCACTGAACATAAAAAGGAAGATTTCAAGCTTTATTTAGGGATTTTTTGATTTTAGAGTAGCAAGTTGCAGAGCCTTAAATTTGATACAGTGCCAGGCAGGGCTGTTCCCACTGCCTGTGCTTCTCCAGGGGCTGTGCTGGACACCATCCCTGAGCATGCCTGAGCTGGCTGTAAGGATGGGTAGGCACACCTGAGCTCCCTGTGGTGTTGGTGGCAGTGAAACTGTGGCATTTCTGGCCATGACAAACCTCACCACAACCTGTCTTGCTTTTCCAATACTGATGCCTGAGCTGTTGAGAGTGAAACCATCCCCACCAACCCAGCCTGCTCTGGACACCCGAGCTCCATGCACAGAGCCAGGGCAAGAGCAGGGCACAGCAGGTCTTTGGAGCTGCAGATCCCAGCCTTTCCCATAACAGACTTTCCTGCAAGTTTCTGTGGATATGCCCATGGCTTCAGATAAATGCAGGCTGAGGCCCACTTTTAAGACCTAGCCCGTCCCGTTGTTCTTGTGGTTTCTACTGACACAAAGAGGAGCCTTAGGTGGAGCTCCAGAGCTCTCTGGTGGTGGAAAACCCCATCCCACTTGTTGCCACAGTTTGGGACCAGTCTCTTGTTTACGTGGTCAGGAGAGGCTGGGAACAGGCAGAGCCCAGCCCAGTTCACCGTCAGGTATCCCACACTCGCTTCTTCCAAAAACAACGGGGAGAACCTGTGCCCGAGACACGGGTGGCAACAGGCAGCCCCACGGAAGGAGCACAAGGTGGTCCCAAGGCTTCATACACTTCAAGTGCTCAACGAGTCAGTTTTTCATCTCCCACTCCACTTTGGGGGGATTCACGTCTCCGTGGCAGTGAAGTTCTGCAAGAGAGGCCATGCCAGACAGGCTGCCCCAATGCAGGTGCACCGAGGGCCTTACAGTGGTGCTGGGACATGTCCAGAACCAGGGTCAGACCCTACAAACACTCCTGACTGCTCAATAATCCCACCAAACCCCATAGAGCAACTCTGGGGTGTGCGGGGGGAAGATGAGGAAATTAAGCATGCAATAAATGTCTGAAGAATTAAACTGAACTACCTATAAACCACATAGGAAAAAAAATCCTGTTTCCTCTTAAAATACCATTATAAAAATAGAGCACTCTTGTCCTGTTGGCTTGAGAGAGGGAGACTGAACAGACTGCATCCAAACTTTATTTTTTATCCTGACCAATTTTTGAGTTATATTCATGAAAAAATGGTCTTCATTTCTCTCCCTGCACTTCTCTCTCTCATGGATTCTTTCTTAACACTCCTATAACTCAAAAAAGGCCATGCTGATTTTTTTTAATCTGTTAAAAAATGTGCTCCCTGAGCTGAAACCAAATTTCAGCCCAGAGCAAATTTTTACGGCTGGGTTATAAATCCCTGAAAAACAGGATTCATAATGGAAGTGCTGACACAGCCTTAACTACTATATAGCAGTGTGAATGGCGCCACTATAATGTCTATTAGAGATTCTTTAAAAAGTTTGCAAAATATTGTCTTGCCTTGCAGAGAAAAAGAAGCCAGAGTACTTAATGCCAACATAAACATGCTTTTAACCCATTATGTGCTAATTTGCAGAAAAGCTATTAATTCTGAGTAGGCACACAGAGTGCAGCACCGACAGGAAATGTTCTTCTAAACTCCTGTTTGACTTGTAACATGGTTTTAATCACTTCCATGAAACACAAACGATGGCTTCAAACTCTGAATGTTGCTCAGAACATGAGAAGGGTGATTACAACAGAGAGGAAAATGGGATTTTGTAGGCAAAAGGGCTAAAGCCAACAGGGAGAGAATGACACCAAACACTAAAACATGGGCCTCCGTTCCTTGTCAGTTTGGGGACGAAGGCTTCATTTGATTCACAGCATTTAATGCCTCTCAGCAGCACACCACTGTTTTATCTATCACAACACATACTACAGGTCAAGTTCACTTTCTATCAGGCAATGAGCATGTTTTCTTCTTCCTTGAACCCCGTCAGATGTTAGCACCTCACAAAGTCAGTTCTGCTGAAACGAGCTGTGCCTTGCTTTTACAGCCTGCAGTTTGTGTGTCTGAGACCAGTGCTAAACCAGGCCAGATGATCTACTGCTCCTGAGGGTCTGCTAGGCAGGGAAGGGGAGCACTGCCCTCTTACTGAAGCACAGCAAAGAAATAAAAGATGCTGGCAGTGGTGGCTGGCGAGCAAAGTACATAAAAGGCTAACTTGAAAGCCCATTAAAAAAGTAAAATAAATCAGTTCAGAGTTCTATTTTGATTTTTTTCTTCTTCTCTTCTTGCAGGAGTTTGTGCTTTCTCCCCCAGTATAAGCATTAGCATCACTTTTCTGTGGGAATAAACGGGTGTGGGATAAGCTTTAAGTTGAATACTACAGGGACATTCAGCAACCCAGGACAGTGCTTATGCACAGTGTGCAGAGGTTTTTATGGCTTTCTGATGCCATCAGTAAGAGATACTGTGTTAGGTCCACTGACTGCAAAAGCCCATATGCAAGTTGACCACACAGTTTTGAAAAGAAAAGTAATTTTATGAAGAATGAAGTTTTTCTATGTTGCCACATTTCTTGCTCATGTCCTCAGTCCTGCCTTCGCAGACTTGCCTGACTCCTGTTCCTGCTGTCTGCACTGGTCCCTCTGCCCATGGCATCAGTGGCTGGGACCAGTGGAAGAAGCAGAATGATGAGGAGCAGGAGGACTTTTATCTCTCCACATTTCCCCAAGGACCTAAACGAGCAATGAACACGAAAGGATTTATGGCATGGGTGATTTCTGCGATGCTCTAAAGAGGGAAGAAAAACCAACTTATAGTCAAAATGGTATGGCTGGTACTGCAACTCACTTCAGTGGGTGAGGATAGCAAATGTGGGCACTGTGTACCAGATTAATTATTTTGGATACTGATGAAAAGATACCAGTCTCCCTGGAAGAGACATAAGCATCAGCTGCTGTATTCCCAGTTGAAGATTTCATGGGCTTCCATGTGAAATGGCTCCATATTTTTCCCCTACTGAGATTATCTTGGGAAAAACCAAGCCCACAGAATTAAACTGGTAATGATCACCACAGCAAGAAATAACTTAGGCCCTACCCAAACAAGTAAGCTATCTTTCAAGAGGCTGAACAGAATTTTCAGCAGTCCTGGCAAAATAAAAGTAAGAAATGCTGGAGAAGAAACCCATTTCCTTCCACCCTGCAGCTGCTGCTATTTCAGTTCTTTTTCCCTACTCAACACAGGAGTGAGCAATTGACTGTGGAAGGCACTGACACACTAGGATAGCCAATACCCTAGTAAATTTCTAGGTGAGAAAGACCAAATTTCACATCCTTCTTCTAATTTGAAAGCTAGGACAGGTCCAAGGAAAGGAAAAGAGACACCAAATATATCTACCACATCAGTGCTGACATGCATGACTTAAGCAAGTGTCTCTTGTCTGCACCAGAAGCAAGCAGTAACCTGAATTTTTGTCTCTTGTAATGGTGCAGAACACCTCAATAGAGAGTAATGGACAGAAGGGCTGGACCAGTCTGGCTTCAGGGGGATTTTTTAAGTTCCTTGAGGCAGTTCCCACAAAACGCTTTGATTTTGACAGAAAACATTTTTCAAGTGAAATTATTTTCTGCTGGAAGATTCCTGACTACCACTAGGTTTAAATTTGCTCCTCTCAAGCAGGCAGACAGTTATGGGCTCCAAGTACTCTGAAGGCCAACAAACTTTATAGAGCTGCTGGAATTCCTGGCATTCCCATTTTAAATCTTTCATGTATCTGAGCCATGAGTACCAGTACTGGGATCCAAGAATCCTTACTTCATTTTCAAATTATAAGGACATGTAGGACATTTTTCTAAACAGCTCAAGTCTCATGCCTTCCACAATCTTCTCAGCCCTACCAGCTGGGTCTCTGGAATGCAATTTTCTGCTTTTATGCTACTCATATGGTTTTGAATCAATAAAACTGGTTACTGTTTTAATTTCAGTGTTCTTAATAGCGGAAACTACTAATGAGAGCAACTACTGGAAGAATCCAGTCCGTTTAACATCTAACATAATCCTTTTCATTTTTTAAAGTACCTTCTTTCACTTCCTGCTTCTGGTCTTGCTTTTCTGTCTCTAAGTCATCCTGTGTTTTTGGCTCCACCATCTCTTCATCATCTTCATCCTCTAAAAAAAAAAAAAAAGAAAAAAAGGAAGAAAAAGATATGTTAGATTCTCTTCCTTAAGAGGCCTGGAAATTGTCTGACTTCTTTATAATTATAAAATGGTAAGGCAAAGTGCCCAATACATGGAACATGTACATTTATGCTCAGAGTGACACTCTTAGACATTTCCCTACTGACTGCAAGATAATCCTCTCGCACAGGGCACCTGCCACTTCTGCTCCCCATAACTTCCCCTCTCAGATGTCAACTGAATATCTCCCTGACCTCGGATATGACTTCTGGGATGGCATGAGGACAGATACAAACACGTTTCAGCCTGCCAGCTATTCCACAGCTGGGACACCTGCTATCCAGATATCTCATTTCCAATTCAATTCTCACCAGATTAATTTGTCTTTTGACCTACAGGAATAGGTTAAACAGAAAACTGACCTCAGGTCAGATGCCACTAGCAAGAAAACAAGCATGGCACAGTTCTGAAAAGTCATCACCATCAGCTGGGGGAATATAGCAACCAAAAGTGGCATTTGGAGCTTAGGAACCATTCTTGCATTAATACAAATTTAATGAGCACTAAAATTTGACACATGTCAGTTACTACTGCCAGATGTTTTAATGACCTTTCCTGACCTATGCAAATGCATCTCTCCCTCCCCCTCTCTCCCCACACTCACATGTTCTCATTTTATTCAGGAGGGCAAACCATTCATTCCTTGATGTTTCTCTGAAGTTACAAGGGTTCTGATTGTCCAGACCAGAACATAATACAAGCAGAGCTAAAAAGACAGTGATGCACCAAAATGGCTCAGAATCTACCTAGCCTTCTTTACTTGTTACCAGCTTGTTACAGCAATGTGATCCATTTTTCCTGTGCCCAGGGCTGGCACCCAACCCACTCACATTCTTGAGAGGATAAAGACATAAAGGTTTCTAGATTTTGTGAACTATGAGGAATGAAAATAGAGCTGCTCCTAAAAGTATTTAACAATTAGGATGAGTAAATCCATGGGCTGTGGAGGAATTATTTTGCAGTTATTTTGGAGCTTGACATACCACCAAGGCATAGCAAGTATCACTGGTGCCCTGTATTGGTCCATTGCATGAGAGATCACATGTTGTCCTGGCCCTGGGGCATTCAGCCATCAGGAAAACACTGCAGTTCCTCTGGGGCTTTCTGAGCAACTTGCTGTCACCATACAGCTCCTTGTGTTATGGTGTTTCTCCAGGCACACTCCCTTCTCTAACTTGCCACGTTAATGGGGAAAACATATCAAGCTTCTCCAGCTGGTTGGTTACTGGCACCTTCTGCTGTGAAGGCTGGCTGTAATCAGTCCTGGCTTCTTGCGAGATGCTGGTGCTGACAGGTTTCATTCAACCAACAGGAACATGCAGCTGTATTTTGTTTTCAATAACGTAATAGGCACCGTACTATTCCCACCACATTGCCTACCCTAGGACTTCTCCCAGAAGCCCAGAGGGCACATGTTGCTAGCTGCCATATGGACCATTAACTTAAGGGTTGGACTCGATGATCTTTGTGGGTCCCTTCCAACTCAGAATATTCTGTGACTCTGTGATTCTGCAGGATCTTGGCTGGAGATCACGCCTCAGCCACATACTGTAAGGAGGTGTCTCAGCATGGACAGATATGCTTTTCCATATTGGTAAAATGAGGAAATCTTGGCATAAAATCTCCCATCACTCCCCTTACTGCTAATGACTGCAGTGGGGAGAAAGGGAAAGCTCATCTCCCCAGCCACCAGATAGGAGGGATAACCATGTGCTTCCCAAGCTGGAAAGGGAGGAGGAACCCAGCATGGATGAAGAGGAATTTCCAGAATTAAAAGCACCACTAATGTATGCCAACTCCTTTATCAGGGATTTGTCAGACCATGGAACCTGAGGTGGAAAAAAAGGTAGGGTACTCACAATGTCTCTCTTTGGTGCCTACTTTTCCCTAGGTACCCTGCAGAGAAGGACTAAGGATGAGCTGTTAGACAGCAAGGCAGGGCAGTTCAGTTTGGCAGGGTAAATACATTGCTCTGTCCACTGCGTGAAAGACAGATAACATCCAACACAGTCAGCAGAGAGCTGGTGAGAAGAGCTCTACTGCTGTACACACACAAGGGGTAAAAAAAGCTCCTTCTGCCATTGGTCTGTGGTGCTAGGGGAGATGGGGATGCAGGGAAGAGAGAGGCACTCCCAGTTTCAAAGAACAGGTGAGAAGCGTGAGTGTCTGGTGCAGCAGGGAGTGAATATTCTGCTAACCTCAAGAACCATGCACACACAGATAGGATCACAATGCTGTACACATATATACACACAGACAGAATTATGGTAGATACTAATAAAACCAGCTCCTACAAAAGTTTTGTGAGTCTTCCACTAAAAGTTTTCATTCCCTAAAGCACCAGCTTTTGGAACCAGCTGTTTAAATGTGGATTTCTGCTTCCATTTTAACCTGTTTCTAACCTGCCAGCTTGTGCAGGGAAGTTTCAGAAGGTGAAGGGTTTGAGAAAATTTTCAGGCAGCAATCAAAAACTACACCAATATTAAACTGAAATGTTTGGGATTTTTAAGGCTTCTTGCAACGCTTTTTAATGCTTCACTTGCAATTTGGTAATGGATAGGGATGATGCAGCAAATTTAGGACTTGAGATTTAGCAGCAGGTTTTCAGGTTGAAGTGAAGCAAATTTACCCCTGTTTCTAGAAGTCCTTGATCCCTCTGATTTTGGGCATCAAATTATTTGCTTGCCTATAGCCCTTTCCTGCTTTTAATGCAGAGTAGGGATAAATGGAAGTAAGTAAAGGTTATTAAAACACATCATGCCTTTTTCCAAGGGCACAAACATCAAAATAGTTTTACTGAGAAAGCAGTGCAAGAGTTTTTAGCAGATTAGACAGAGTTTAGATGTCCTTATTTATTTACAGAGAAATGTATACACATACACAGAGAAACTCAGATAAAAGAATGATAGGGTTGTGAGTCAAATGCTAAAATCTTAGCAAATGCCAGAATTTGGACTGCCTGGGCACGATTAGCTCCTTTCCCCTCCCCACGTGTAGGCATGATGACATAATTCTGGAATTTCCTCCCTCTTGAGTGGTTGGCTTCATTTTCTGGGTGCTCAGCAAGAGACACCTGGGGCCTGAAATGCAGAAGTGCTGAAAGCTGAAGTCAACTGGCACTGTGCTTTGAGTGGAGAAAGTCTTAGGGAAATTCTACACATGCAAAGGCTCCCTCAGCTCCCTCTTTCAGCTTTCACTGAAAGTTGTCATTCTGACATTTTTGTCCTTTCTCCCCCTGTGCTTGAGTGCTTTTGCAAGATGGCAATAATACTGTAAAAAAAAATCGAATTCTCACCCTGCATAGATGTTTTGCAGAGACATGTTCATCAGGATTTGTGGCATATTAAGATGCTGTTGGGGAAGCAACAGCAAAACTAAACCTTGGAAGTGGATTAATGTTTTTTCTGTGTTCAGTGTAATACTTTGATCATGTGCACTAATATGAGATTTGAGGCCAGAGCACTCAATGGAATAAGATAAAAAGCAGAAAGGTTAAAAAACTGTTCCCCTATTGACTGGCTGAAGCAAGAATCTGTTAAGGAAAAAAGTCCTATATGTTATCATGCAAGTAAAATTGTATCATTCTACGTATTGAAAAGGGCTAATTAAGAATGCCTGAGAAATCTGCATTCTGCACTACCCAATGTTGCTTGGCTTTGCAACCTAAATGTTTATTTGACATAATTTATAGATACATAAATATATATATATATATATATATATACTGCACACTATTTAATACCAATGTACACATCCTCACCCATGTTCATAGTACATACATTTGCTTTTGTTAAGTATGGTTATGCATTTGTACATTTGACTGCTCATACATATACATTAAGAATAATGGGAAATGCTTCAGCATTCATTTTCCTGTGTTTTATTTAAAGGTGACAAAGATGGCATTTACTGTACTTTACTGGAGAATCTGTGAACATCTACACAGTTACTCATTTCCACATATGCCTGCTCAGATTGCAATAATTTTCCAGGGAGATAAAGAAACTTGAGTAGCTCCTGAACGTACATAACCTTTCCCTTTTAAGAGCATGTCTAATATTAGGAAGTTTAGAGAAATAACTTCGTAGCTGCTCACATCACAGTAGTAGGAGTCTTCTAGTCACATTTGGCAAACAGAGATGCTACCAGCACCAGCAGCAGCGTTACACCCTGCTCAGAAGAGGGTGTAACACTATCACAACTCAAATGTCTATTAAAGGAACCACATGAAAAAGAGCTAGTAATGAAGAAGTGTATAACTGCCGTGCAGCACTTCTCCTTTGTAGATACAAAAGGGCTTTGCAAGGAGGCCAGTTTTGGTATGTCTATTTACCACACAGAAGCTGACAGACAGACCCACTCACTGCAGATCACGCAGTAGGCCAGCTTAGGGAAGACAGAGTGGGCTTCAGAGGTTCAGCCTAGAGTTCTGCCCACAAAGGCCACCCTGCCTTCTATAAATAAACAAATCCTCAATGGAAATGATCATTAAATGCTTGGATAATGATGTTTGTCTGCTGAAGCTGGTGGAGCCATATGTGGGATTAATACAGACTGAGATAACTGGATCAAAAATATTTTCTTCGTAACTCAGAGCTTGATGACTCTGCAGGCTCTAGAAGGTGGCCAATTAGTCTGACCAGCACTTGACAAAGTAAAAGTAGAGCAATTGTTTTCATTTTGGTCTTAGCTTGAACACCCCTGCTTCTGTTCCAGACCAGAAGTGGTCTTGTTTGTCTAAAAGCTTGTCTGTTTTTCCCAACTATAGAAGTTGCCCTAATAAGAGTACGACCTCTCCCTTCAAACCTGTTGGTTTGTTTTTTTGGTTTTTTTTCAACTAGTAGCTCCAATAAGCCTGCTTTATGTCTGGTCTTTGCTTTGGACACCACAACCACTTGCAGTAGGTGGTACAGGGGAAAGCTCTGTGAATA